AAAATGGAAAGGCGGGAAGACGAACCGAAATCTACTGCGCATGAGCAGCGGTTTTTCCGCCGTGCCGTCATGTATTCGATTCTATGTATACTCTTATTGTTGCGTACTTCATGTATCTCATAGTGTAGTGTGTTAGGGGACGATCCAAGATGGCGCTTGCTGCCAAAACTGCGAGATTTGCTCTGGGAAGAACTATCATAGATGCACAATTCTTAGCCGACAGTGTAATTTTTATGAACAGTAAGTATGGCGTGCAGAGGTATGTCAGGCATTGGTCACGTTTAATGGTGACTGATCGTTCAGAGACTGACAGGCACGTGTTTACATTAAAATTGAGTACATTATTAATCATAGGTAATAACTACTTCGATTTTATATACTTCCTGATATCTCTTTTGGTTGTAAATTCTGTATATGAGCGTTGTATTTCGAATTTCGAAGGCAAGAGATTGGGGGGTTGAGTACTTTAGAATTTCCAAAGCCGTGGGGTGGGGGGGTGGGGGGAGCTTTGATGAAGACATTGTCTGGAATAAACCATTCCAGAACCCTTAGGAGACAATGGGTAAATGTTTAATAATTCGTCCATAGTTAGAGTGGAATGGTTGCGGGACCTGACAAAGTTCTTTATTGTATGTTTTTGTTCTCTTTTTTGGCCTTGACCATGTGCAAACACAATAGTTGTTTACTCCGTACTGAGGAACTAACCAATAAAAACGTTTTGGTTACGTAATTCATGCATAGTGTATTAGCGCAAAACAAAAGACTGTGCTGGTCATGGACCTTCCAACATAAATCTTGGCATCTTTGTTTGCTCCTTTGATGTTTGTTGGGCTTCATAACCATTCCCCTCTATAAACTATGATTCATCAGAGAAACCAAATTTCCAGGTCTGGTTGTCCAGCATTTAAAATTAAGACCACCAGGATTTTATTTTGAGCTTTGTTTAACAGTTTTCTTTTTTTCTACAGATGACATTATTGCAGTAAATAAACCATATGGGGTGCCAGTTCACTGTAAGTGGATGACACTGAAGAGTTTAAGGTTATTAAAATGAAATATAAATGGTGGTCATTTATGAACATTTCTACAAAAGAGTGTTCTCTGATTGTGGTTTCTGAGAGGACTGATTGCTTTAATTCCAAGGTGGAGAACTAAATACAGCAGAATAATAAATCTTCTAACCACTTAGAGGAAGCAGAAATTGGTTCAGAAAATTGGAAGGTTTGACGAAAATTGGGATTAAACCTCTCCTAATGTGTTTGCCAAGTGCCTGAAAAAATGTTTTGAATAAATATGAGGTTTGAAAAATCAAGAGTTCAAAAAAAAGTGAGGATTTTAATCTTACAAGACAGTATAAATATGTATAAATATTACTGTTTGTCAGGTGATAAATGATCTTTACTCCATCCAGTAGTGTGCTCGGTGTGAACATTCCTAATATAGAAACACATATTTTGAACAACCATTTATTAAAAAGCTTTTTTTGTTTATGTGTTATTTTGAAGCGGGTCCTGGTGTAAAGATTTGTATAATGGACATGCTTGATGAGTTTACAGAAATCAAAAAATTGAAACAAAGACCAGAGCTTGCACATCGAATTGATAAGTATGTGCTTTTGTTATGCATTGGCCTATTCCCTTCTGGATAATTCTGAGTTATTGTTAAGGAGCACTTGCTAAATTACTTTGCAAAAGGACAGTTCTTGATACCACACTTAAAACCAGTACCATCATGGCTAAACTGACCAATAATTTAGTTTCAATGGACCAGACTTAAAACACAGTCATCTGACAAATACTCTTCTTTTTGCTTTCAAGATGGCTTCAGCTCAGTTTGCCTAGAAACATCGGATGCCAACATTGGTTCTTTTCAGAACTACTGCTTTAGAAGAACTACTTCCATTTATATCTGGTATCTCTCATGGGTGAAAAACATTCTGAGCTTTGCCCATGAAATAACATTTGGGCATTCTCCAAGGCTTCTTTTCAACAGTTTAACAATTTTTTTGGGTAACAGAAAAATTAAATATTGGTAGTAATACTATTAACTAATTGGAAAATTATTTACTTACAGGGACTGCAGTGGAATTCTGTTATTCACAAGGTACTCACAGTCAAATAATAATAAACTAATTTCAGTAATCATCATGATTTTATTTTACTACTTTCAGTGGTTTCCCAATAGCTCCAAGTTTCTCACTGTTTTGTCAAGCTATTGTAAAGAAAGATGATGTTAATCACATGTACTTAAAAATATTGTCTCAACAAACAGGACAATGACAACATTGACCACAACTTAGCTTTATACAGATGAATATTTGCTACTGCTTTGCTTAATAAACCCTTTTATTGATGGATATTAATGGTAACAAATCAAATTTTCATATTTGACAATATTTAAATTTTTAGGTCGGCAAGCGCAGCCAGCAAGGTAGCCGAAATGTTCTCCAACAGAACGATTAGTAAACATTACTGGGCTATAACTGTTGGAATACCAACATTTGAAGAAGGAGAAATCAATATTCCCATTGGCGAGGCCAAACTTCTTGGAGGATATCGCATTGTTACCAGACCAGATCTGAGCTCAAAGTCTTCAGAAGTATGGAAATTATTGATAATTTGAATGGACCACCACAACATTTATTTGTACCAAAATACTAATGGAGATAATGACCATGATCATTTTTTCCAGAGTGGAGAAAGGTTTATAGGACACATATTTATAAAAGTTCCAAAGCTAGAACTTAAATTGAATAAAACATTTACCAAGGATATAACTTAATATTTAACTATACAGGACTCTTAAAGTTGTCAATTTCACAATTTTAATTCAAATCTCTTAGCATTCTACTGACATAAAATTTTCTTTTTTTTATTTAGTTGTTAAGTGCCGCTGGCTTCAAAACTGCGAAAACAAAATTTAAAATTTTGGACATAAATCAGAGCACATGTGCTCTTTTACAACTAGAGCCAATCACAGGATTAAAGCAACAAATCAGAGTACATACAGCAGAAGGACTGAAATGCCCAATACTGGGTGATCACAAGTTCTCTTCTGATGTGCGGCAGCCTCAGGTGGGTTTACACATTTCAGATATTTCAAAATAAGCATGATCTGATCTAGCACATGGGTAGCAAGGGGATTTCCTGGATGGGTCATTGTAATAATTATTGTTGTTGCAAGGTCAGCACATCACATGGTCATGAATGATGTAAGGATTTTGCAAGTCTAGACAAGTTTCTGTTATGCAAAGTGAATATTCAGTACCCAGTGCAAACTCTTGAATAACATTTAAGGAAATATATATTTCACACTACATGAAGAGCAGAACATTGGTAAGATTGAAATTTATTTTTAACTTTAATCCAAACATAATGATATTATGCACCACTTATTGAAAGAAGAGTTGACAGTACGGAGACGGAAATGTCCAAAAGCACTCGATGAGTGCACCATTTCTAAGAGGGCAAAAATTTGATAACTTTAATTGGTAAGTTAACATTAACAGTTACGTGATTCAAAGTCTAGCCCTTGAGCTAGCTCAATTTTTAGCACAGGTCTGCATACTGATGAGACAAAAACCAAAAACTATGGCCCATATTTATATTCTTGGTATTGGACTGGAACTAGCTTGCAAAAGAGGCTCTTGTGGGGGAATATCATTAATAAGAGATTAATGTCATTTGCATTTGAAAAGACTCCTCACATTACCCTCAGTTACAAGCCAGTTTTACTCAAATCAATACCAAGCAAACCAATATAGCTTATTCCCCTTCACTCCCTGTGGAGCATAGGTCCATGGAAACTGCCTGCCATCTCCTTCTGTTTTGGGCCAACTTTTCGATCTCTTGCCAAGTATAGCCTGCCTTTGACACCTCATTGTCCACGGTTCTCCTCCAGCTGTTTCTAGGACGACCTTGATTTCTCTCTCCCTGGGGCTCCACCTCAGTGCATACCTGGTAATATTGCCGATCGCTTTTCTTAAGGTGTGCCCAATCCAACCCCACTTACACCTTCTAATCTGGATGTTGATTTGTTCTTGTTCAGTTCTTTCCCTCAAATCTTCATTTCTTATAACCTGAGGCCAGTGTACACTGGCCTCAAGAATACAGATATAGTCTATTAAAAAATTATAAAACGCAAGTGAAACATGAACCATGCTTAGCCCCAAGCCACATGATAAGAGATTTCCAATACAATCCACCACATTAAAAGCTTTTGAACCTTCATGTGTAATGGAAAAAAGTCAGGGTTAATACTGTAATTAAAATCTAAAGGGAAGCTGCTTTGTTCCATCACTTAATGGTCTTATATTAACACACATGTATTTTGTTCAAAGGTGTTACCTCTACGTTTACTTCAGCTTCTTCAGATTAAAGGTGTAAAGGACAAAACAGATCCCAAAGCAAAAGGAAAAATCAGACCATGGCAAAGAGCACTCATTCCTCTCCATCTACATGCACGGCAGTTAACTTTACCAAAGTTGTATCATGGAAAAGATATTATAATAAAGGCACCTCTGCCTGAATATTTTGAAGAGACTCTTCAAAAGTTAAATCTTCATCCGAAGAGAAAGAACATGACACATTGCAAGGATCTGATAGAGTATTACAGACTGAAAGAGTTAGAACGTAAATAAACTAGTGTAATTTTAATAGTGAAGTGTTTGGTAAAATGAGGGTACGTGTAACCAAGTTTGTAAAAAGGTAAAATTTTTATCATAACTCTGGAGAAAATCTTCAAACAGGTTGTCTGATAAAAACACATATTTCAAGGAACTTCGTACGTCAGTCTTATTTTAGTTCTTCCTATATTTTTTTGGCAATGTATGATTAGGGTTCACAATTCATAAATAACACTCAGATTTTTGAAATCTGCATTGTAAACGGTATAAGGAACCCACTTTTGAGTATATTATTATATGGCTGTCTCTCAGGGACTGGGAACTACCAAATTCACAAACCTGATTGGCTGGAATCGATATTGAACATGGTCTAGATTTTCCCATCTAGACCAGCATCTAGACCGGTTACATTCTGTGGTAAAAAGTTGCAAACTAAAATACAAAAATGTTGACTATTTTCTTCCAAAAATATTTATTTCATATGGAAGTGACAAAAAGCCTGATGTGAAAAAAAAAAGGTAACGAGGATGAGCAAACTGTTGACATATGAGAGTTTGGTTATTATATATTTTATTCAGAGCATCAGAACAAAGGAAATCACTGTGAAACTACCATAAAAGATAATTAAACATACTTTCAGGAACACAATTTACAGTAAAGCAATAAAATTCACTTCACCATGTAATATCAATAATTTTGATGACATCGAAAATGACTGGGGGCCTTTCAGGTTCAGTGGTTTATAAATTGTTCAAACATCACATGGCTTAATTATTCTTGCTCTTGGGTTGATAACATCACTTGCAGTGTGTAATTTGGAGAAACCTACAGTATAGATAAAATGGCATCAAGAACTGACTCCGGAATCCAATTCAAATACTTGGCACAAGTGTCTAAGTTTAATGTTTTGATTTCCAGACTATTAGGATCAGTTGCTGTTGCAGATGCACTCAGTTGATGAGTCTTTCTGTTTAAATAGAAAGATGGAGAAAATGATTTTATCTCTTTTCAGAAACACTGCAAGAAAAAGAAAAGAAAATCTCATTAATTTTGATTATCAAAATGTAAAGTTTCTTTCCTCGTGCTATCATTATTATGTCAACAGTTCCTGCTAGCTCTATGTTCCCATCAAGATATAAAATCATTCTCAAGTACGGCTTTCATCACATGCTTTATTTCAGGGTGTTTCCAAACAGATAAACTTGACTTCAGAGAGAACACAAAAAACCAAAAAGATGTATCTTTATAGCAACTTTATTTACATTGTGAGCTAGCTGTATCTCAATCTATTCCACATAATCAAAGTCTTCTGGAATTCCAAAATTCTTGTCAATCATTTTCTCTTCCAATCCAAACTTCCTGACACACCAGGACTTGATGGTAAAAACATTGTCAGTCCAGCGATTTGCACCTTCTTTTGCCATTACTGTTTCCTTTTGCATGTTTTCCAGCACTTCTGGGTCACATTCTCTATATCTCTCAAGCTCTTGTTCCTGTTCTTTACACAGCTTTTCCTTCTGCAATAGCTCTTGAAGAATGGCATCTCTGTCACCCTGTTTTACCATCAAATTTGTTAACTGAATTGTGGTACCTAAAGCCCTGGCCTTTTTTGGGAAGAGTTGTATTTTAGTTCATTTTGCAGGTCTTGAAAGATATTTGATGGAAACTATGTGTAAAGGTTATTGCCAGAGAGAAAAAGTTTATATTAACGGGGGCAGTAACACCCCTGTTAAATATCAATGTATAAAGGTCATTCAATGTGCCATAAGTAAAAACTGTTAAATTCATAATTTAACCAAACTTTCCAAAATCTAAACATTTTAAAAATGAAATGCAGTAGTGTAGAGGCATAGTAGAGCAAATGGCTAGAAATTGCTCAGGAACCCAGATCAAGCAGTCTTGGTTTAAGCCCTAGACAGGTTTGTTCACTCTTTCTTATTTATCCTCAGAAATTCATGATAAACTATACTAATACTCACAGACTGCTCTCTGCCACTATTGGCTTGTTTCAGAAGTTTTGTGGTGGAGGCAATTTTCTTTTCACATTCATGTATTTGCTCAGTGAGTTGCTGTAGTTTCTGTTGTCTCTGAGAAGAAAATTAATACAGTGCCATTGAATTCAGTACAGTCCAGACAGACAAGGCTTTTCCTACATGTATTTTGCATTTCTCACTTTCAGTTGCCTTGCATAAGACTGTAAGGTAGTCTAAGGTAGTTTGCCCCATAGTTTACTTACTGTATGCAATGCCTTGCTTGGGTAAGCCCAGAAATAAATGGAAGTACCAATTTTATCAGTATCCACAAGATTGTCATCAACCAAGCTTTGTAAGACTTCCTTAACAGACATGGATGCTATATGGGAGAGAAATCAGTCATCATCATCAGCAGCAGCCCTAATGCCATAAAAATGGGAAAATGGGATAACACAAAAAATAGTGGACACAGTCATCACTTTGTCTTACTGATTCCTTTTTCCTTGGGAGCAATTTTTTCAAGCTCCTTGAGTAGAAAGAACTCTTTCTGTTGAAATTCAAAGTATCCAGATTAGTATCAAACATTAGAAATCATTAGAAAACAGCCCCAAGATAATTCGCGTGCTGATCGGTTAAAAATCATGTTTTCATAACTCGATGGAAACATAGAACTAGCACGAGCTGTTGACTTAATGATGGCACGAGCAAAGAGAATTTACATTTTGATCATCAAAGTAAACAAGCTGTTTTTCTTTTTTTCATCGTGGTGTTTTCTAAAAGAACTAGAAAACATGTTCTCTGTGTTTCTATCGAGTTATAGAAACACTCGTGAAAGTTTGGGAGAACTCAAAAAAGCTGTGGAAACACTTGCCTGC